ATCTGATGTGGTGGCGCATCAGGATCTGCAGCACCCCACTTGCTCCACATCCAGCCTTGCCTGCAGGCTGGTGCGAGGTGAGAACCAGCAACGTGAACCCCGCTCAGCTCCCAAGATCTTCCTCTGAGCCTCTCCCCTCCCGGTCTGCTCCAGCTGGGAGCCTTCCAGGACCTGCTGTGCTACAGATGCCTCCCCCAGTGTGGCACAGGAGGTCCATTAACCCCACTGTGCTTTCCTTTGGGAGGCCTCTGTGCACACCCTTCTCCCTTTCCCTCCCTTCCCTGCTGCGAGGGGCCAGATTTGGGAAATGGGTGAAGGGGGAGAGCACAAACAAACCGGTGGCAGCCGTTATTTGCATGCCAGAGAGATTAGGGCTCTGTACCTACACGGAGGGGCTGGAACAAAGCCTAAGGGGGGAGAAGGAGGGAATTAGAGTGGATGTCTTGTGAGTCGCTCTCGGGGCTGTTAAGCTGCCCAGGAATTTTGCTCCAGTTGGCTGCTGTGGGTATGTTTTTCTCATTTCTCCCCTAGGTACCAGGTCTCTGCCATACCCCTTCCAGCACCATTGGCCTCAGTTTCCTGGTTAGCCAGGCTTATTTTCACACCTGTATGCAAAAACATCACTGGCCTTTGATTATAGATGCTCCTAAGTAGCATCAGACAGGCATTAGAAAGCAGGTGGGCTTTCTCCATGCCTGAGCTGGGCTTTGCTGGGTCCGGTTTGCCCTATCACCGTCTTGCTGGCAGTACACCCCCAATGTGGGTCCTCTCTCCTCCCAGCTCCCTGGGCTGAAGGACTAAGAGATGGTGGCAATGTCCCCATCCGTTGGCACTGGCAGTCGTGGGAAACGCCAGCAGTCACATGCTGGCTGGAGACTGCCAAGGGGACAAGGACACTCCTATGGACGGTACACACAGGGCTAGCACCTGGGAGCTTTGGATCTGGGTGAGTTTCTCAAGGCAGTCCCTTTTCTTCGTGTCCTCCAAGCAATGGGGACCACTTGCCCCAATTCCCATAGCACTGCTGTTGCTCTGCAGGTTGAACTGCAAATCCTTTAGGCAAAAGCACGGATGGCACAGGCTGGGGCAGAGTCCAGGTAAAGGGTCCTGGCTTGGCAAGAGGTGGTCCTACCCTGTGACACCCCTGAATCTTGCAGAAAAGGACAGCGACTGGTCTTTCTCAGGCTGCAGGAGGTTCAGCATGGAAACAGGCTGGAAACAGTCAGAGCCAGACTGAACAGTCTCGCTCAGCTTCTGCCATTACCCACCCGCTGCTTCTCTCCCAGCTCCACCTGACTGACAAGCTAGGTACAGCTGTACAAAAGGTGACCTGCTGCAAAAGCGCAATGATTTCTCGATCAGTGCTGGTGCTCCACCACTGCACCATCTGCTGCACGTAGCTACCTCAGATAAGAGCTACTGACACCAAATACACCCGAGCCTTTTTATCCAAGCCCGTCTCCCAGCCTCGCTCTTCTTGATCTCATCCTGCACCACAAATCAAATGAATCAATCAAACCATTGCAATTCATCTTTTTTTTCCTCTCAGCTTCCTAGCAAGAAAATATTTGTCCATCTGTGGCATTCAGAGATTTCTGTAGCATCGCCTGTCAATGATGAGTCAACGGCATCTGAATTTGAAGAACGTTAGACAAATATCCATCAGTACTGCTTGAGTTTGGAGCTGGATGGGTACCTCTGCAGGAACCACTTGCTCCGTGCCACACAACTGTACAGCAAGGCATGAAGGGGCTTTTACCTGCCTGCAGCTAGATGTTGGCTGAAAAAGATGAGGTGCACCAGAGGAGCTCACCTGTGGAGATGCCTCCAAAGCCAATATGCTATAGCATAGCTCTGCTGGAGATTTATCCCAGCTCTGAGCCAGGCAGTTCAGAGCTGCCTTGTTCCTAACACCATGGTGCGTACGCTGGCTTTTCTGCTCACGGCTGCACACAGTGGTCACGCCATGTACCCTGCACCTGCCTTTGCACATTCTACAGCTTGCTATTATTTTCTCCTCAGTTAAGGAGCTTTAGTCGCAGGTAAAAATACCATGGGTAAGTTCACATGCACCTTAAAGCTCATCAGCATGGGCACCTGCCCTTCCCCGTGCATCACACGCAGGTGGGCCAGAGCAGGCACTGCCGCAGAGCTAGCTGTAGGTGGGTGCCAGGAGAAGACTTGCACCGACACCAGAAGTCACCAGCCCAGGCTGGGAGGGTGAAGGCCACAGCAGGTTCAGCCATGGCTGCCGGTCCCTGGATGCACACAGAGCACAGAACAGTTGGTGCTGGACGATGCCCAGCAAAGCCCTGCTATGCCAGGCAAGCTGCATCAAGGAGGGTCCACACGAATGCTAGGATGGCTCCTCATGCCTCCACACAGTACAGATGGGGGTGGGGTGGGGTCTCTGTTTATTAAATGTAAGGGCCACAATTCATGCCACCAACCTCCCCAGCCCACAGACAACACCCTGGGAAAGCATTCGTTAGAGAATTGAACGAGTGCAGGCCTGGGACGAGCTGTCCTGTCGGCAGCCAGTGCCAGGATGTAAGCATCCCTCCATGCCACTGACCTGTGCAATGAAGCGATGACCTCCCAAGCACAAGCTGAGCCTCCGGGGGCCAAGCAGACCTGTCCACAGCGCTCCCTTCTCCCTCCGGCTGGCACTTCCCGGCTCTGGATGAGGGCGCCCGGTTAGATGGTCCCGCTAGCTCTTTGCTCCATGGTGGGCACGCTATCAGCTGGGCACGGGGCGATGACTGCAGGACTCCAGTGCCTGTCAAGCAGTCTCTTGTGCCCCGCTCCTTCCTTCGGGGCACCTACGCCCTCACTAGAGAGCTAATCCCCCTCTCAGCTTGCTTTCCTCCGGCTCCGATGCTGCCCAGCAAACCCGCCTGTGGCCAATCCGGGGGGACGCCCCGCGCGGGGGACCCCCTTGCCTCCTGCAGGTGCAGGTAGTGCCCCACGGCGCTCCCAGCGTGGATGTGGGTCAGCAGCTGCTTATGGTTTCAGGTCGGCAGAGACCGGCGGATGCTGAGCGGGCAGAAAGCACTTCTCTACTTTTAAGAGGCTTTTCCAGCCAATGGGGAGGAGGTGGCTGCCTGCCGCAGCCCGAATCCCCCGGTAATCCCGCTGCCCAGGATCTCCTCGCCTTTCCCCCAGCAGAGCGGGGCAGGCTGGCTGGGGGCAGATTTGGAAGGGCCGAGGCAGGAAGGTGGGAGGGTGCTGGTGATGGACCAGCCAGGAGGGAGGGTGCCGGGGAGGGGGGCAATAGAGGATGAGAGCACAGGCCCATGCTTCAGTAAGGGGCACAGTGGGGGAAGGGGCTGCTTTCGAAGCCCTCCATTGCTTCCTCAGCCACCAGCCAGAAGGATGGAGAAGCGCTGGCATGGCTCTGCAGGGCACGTGCCCAGCAAAGAGCAAAGACAAGGTGGACCGGCCGAGGAATCACTGCTGTCCATGGCTCGAAGGGCGGGACCCAGCCCGCCCCTGGCAGCTCACTGACCACCCCCCACCAAAACGAACCCCCTCAGCAGCTGCCAGCCAGGAGGGTGGCCG